ATCTCCCATGCTCATGGATAGGCAGGACTAACATAGTAAAAATGGCAATCTTACCAAAAGCAATCTACAGATTCAATGCAATCCCCATCAAAATACCAACACAATTCTTCACAGACCTGGAAAGAATAATACTCAACTTCATCTGGAAAAACAAAAAACCCAGGATAGCCAAAGGAATCCTGTACAATAACACAACTTCTGGAGGCATCACAATCCCTGACTTCAAGCTCTACTATAGAGCTACAGTAATAAAAACAGCTTGGTACTGGCATAGAAACCGACATGTGGACCAATGGAATCGAATTGAAGACCCTGACATTAATCCGCACACCTATGAACATATAATTTTTGACAAAGAAGCCAAAAGTGCACAATGGAAAAAAGAAAGCATCTTCAACAAATGGTGCTGGCAAAACTGGATATCAACATGTAGAAGGCTGCAAATAGATCCATATCTATCACCGTGCACAAAACTTAAGTCCAAGTGGATCAAGGACCTCAACATAAATCCAGCTACTCTGAACCTGCTAGAAGAGAAAGTAGGAAGTAGTCTTGAACGCATTGGCATTGGAGACTACTTCCTAAATAGAACACCAGTAGCACAGACTCTGAGAGACACAATCAATCAATGGGACCTTTTGAAACTGAGAAGCTTTTGTAGAGCAAAGGATACGGTCAACAAGGCAAAGCGACAGCCTACAGAATGGGAAAAGATCTTCACCAACCCCACATCTGACAGAGGACTGATATCCAGAATATATAAGGAACTCAAGAAATTAGACATCAAAATGCCCAACAGTCCAATTAAGAAATGGGCTATAGAACTAAACAGAGAATTCTCAACAGAGGAAACTCAAATGGCCGAAAGACATTTAAGGAATTGCTCATCATCCCTAATCATCAGGGAAATGCAAATCAAAACAACTCTGAGATACCACCTTACGCCTGTCAGAATGGCTAAGATCAAAAACACTGAAGACACCTTATGCTGGAGAGGATGTGGAGCTAGGGGAACTCTCCTCCACTGCTGGTGGGAATGCAAGCTTGTACAACCACTTTGGAAATCAATATGGCGCTTTCTTAGAAAATTGGGAATCAATCTCCCCCAAGATCCAGCTATACCACTCTTGGGCATATACCCAAGAAATGCTCAACCACACCATAAGAGCACTTGTTCAGCTATGTTCATATCAGCATTGTTTGTAATAGCCAGAACATGGAAACAACCCAGATGCCCTTCAACTGAAGAATGGATAAACAAAATGTGGTACATATACACAATGGAGTACTACTCAGCAGAGAAAAACAATGACATCATGAGGTTTGCAGACAAATGGATGGATCTAGAAAAAATCATCCTGAGTGAGGTAACCCAGTCTCAGAAAGACAAACATGGTATGTACTCACTCATAGCAGGATACTAGACATGAAACAAGGATGACTTGTCTGCTACTCACATCACCAGGGAGGCTACCCGGAAAACAGGACCCCAAGAAAGACACAGGGATCGTCCAATGACAGAGAAATGGAATGAGATCTACATGAACAGCCTGGACATGAGTGGGGGTAATGAAAGGCGAGGGTCGAGGGAAAGAGAGCTTGGGGGAGCGGGAGATCCCAGCTGGATCAACAACAGAGAGGGAGAACAAGGAATAGGAGACCATGGTAAATGAAGACCACATGAGAATAGGAAGAAGCAAAGTGCTAGAGAGGCCCACAGAAATCCACAAAGATACCCACACAACAGACTGCCGGCAATGGTCGAGAGACAGCCCGAACTGACCTACTCTGGTGATGGGATGGCCAAACACCCTAATTGTTGTGCTAGAAACCTCATCCAACTACTGAGGGATCTGGATGCAGAGATCCAATTTTCACTTTCATTCCAAAGAATTGAAATCAATATCTGCAAGAGATAACTACATTCTATGTTCATTGTGTAACTTCACAATTGTCAGTAATGCACACAGTCAAAATGCCTGACCTATGGAAGCAAAAACACTTGTGGCTTACATACAACAGACCATTAACCATAATATCAGAAGCAGTGCCCTCTACCTCAGAGAAACAAAGGTCCCTGAGAGTTGTGGTAAGTGAATAGGCCAGTTAGAGGTCTCCCTCTTCTGAAGACAAGATAAATACTTCCCTGAGTATAGTCTTTCATGCCTAGCATGATTTCCTCAAGTGCTGTTGAAATTAACCCGTTTTGCTAGATGAGAATTTATTGTATAGTCCTACTAAGAACATTTGCTTTCAGTTTTAGTTGTATGAAAATAAAATTTGAGGAATGTTTTTTGTTACTGCTACTGCATTCTGAGGCATTTACAAATCGTGGAAGCACACAGCAAGGCCTCTGCATTCTGATTACGATTACCTCCCAGCTCTTTTATGTTCTAGGAGTCACAGTTCAGGGAGATTTCTTCCTTGTTCTTATTTTTCTCTATTCTCTTGAAGACACTAAGCATGCGTGGAATTGTTCAAGAAACTGAAAAGTGGGATTTTACATATTTATGGTCTGGTTATCTCTGCTGAACTGCTTCTTCCAGACTGATCTGTCTGTACTGCTGACCACATCAGTAACTCCAGCCTCTGACTTCAGTCTTCTCAGCTTAATGCGACTGAGGCCATCAGCACTGCACCTTACCTGTGCATATGTTATGTACTCTCTCAAGACCAAATCAGGGCTTTCATGGAGCTCTCCATTTCACTGTCCTTGTCTGACAGCTTCTGACCTGCTTGCTGCCCTGAATCTAAAACCGCTTATGCCATCTCTTCTCCTCACACTTATGCAGAAGTTTAAGAATAAGGGCTAGTCTTGTGTCTCTGACTCCCTCATGACAGAAGGTAAATATTAGATAATGGGATCCAGTTGTAACAATATGTGTATCAACTGTAACCTTTCATCTTCCTCAGTCTCCACAGATCACCAAATATGTTTGGTCCAACATTGAGTGTTGTCATCCCTTTTCTCTCTCTATATATATAATATTTAAATATAACTAATTTATTTAAATATATTGCTATTGTATGTTATTAATATATTATAAAAAATATATATATATTGTCATGCACATTGCTTATAGGGAAATTTTCTGGTACATTGTCTTTACACTTACAGCTTAACCTTCTAAATTAGTACCATGAAAGAAACATAATCATTGCATTCAACATTTAGAAAGAAATTGTTATTTGACTAATATTGATTGAAAATGAAATATATATATATATATATATATATATATATATATATATATATATATATATAGTTTCATTTAACATTAACAGCAGGTGAGTACATTTAAGCTCCAAAGTGTAATGAACGCCACTAAATTCATACATCTGATTGATTCAAGAACTAATACATAAACACAGAAACTGTGATAGAATTGTATTCCTACATTGTCGTTGCCTTTGATATCACTTAGAATGTAGAAAATATGTTTAATGAAAACAAGTTATGCAATTCTCTGGCTCTATTTAGCATGGTATAATAAAAAAAAGTTGATGTGGGTAGTTTTAAGTGATTCTTATATGTAATCAAGCTCTAGTACACAAATTCATCCCTAATAGTACTTAAAAGCATAACAGGTTTTCTTCACAGAAAATATATATTTTATATCCTAAAACATTATATATCATTATATGTATTGATTGATTTAATAGAAGAAGCAGATAACAGCAAATATTATACATCACAATGCATTTTAAATAGTTTTAAATAAGCAAAGCAAATAAAATGCTACTTTATATTAATGCAAATAAATATATTTCAAGTATATATTTGAAAGTATTTCCTCATTCATTATAGATTTAGCTGTACATATTCAGTATTCATTATGTAATATGACAAGGAATAACACTGAAAGAATGTAGGGCAATGATTCTTTTTACTCATGAAAATTGAACGACAAAATAACAACCTGGGAAACCAGAATGCACAAATTACTACAAGAGAACTAAAGTGTGAAAAAGAATGGCTGAAATTTGTCACAGAAACACTATGAAAAAGAAATGGGAAAAGAAGGCAAGATTTTTCAGACATTATAATAATACGAACCATTTCCAAACTTTTTTATAGCAGATTATAGCTCACACCTGCTTGAATCTTTGCTGGATAGATGAAGAAATGTTTACAACAGTTAGGGCACCAACCACATCCTAAAGGAATCATTGCACCCAAACATGGTCTGGTGAAGCACAGTGTCTAATGTGCACATGTGAAGAATAGGTGTGGGATTGTGCACAGACACACAGGTGAATTAAAAGAACTCAAGCACTCATCAAATCGTCTGCCTCCCAGTGCCTACTAATGCAGAGAAAAAGGCAAAACTAAAGCTGTAGGAAAATACAGAGTAGGATCTCATTATACAGTAAACTAATTTCAAAGTATAACTTAAAAATAGAGTGCAAATTTGATTATCATGTCTGGAGAGACAATGTCCCTCAGAGAAGGTGGTTACTTAATGGAATCTAAGTACCAGGCACGGAATATGTCTCTAGAAATTAAAAGATGGCCAAAGTCTCCAAAATATTATAGGTTATTGTCATTTCCCTTGTCTTCCTAACTGATATATAAGGTCACAGTCTACTGTTGAAGACAGCACACACTTTGGTCACAGGACATAGATAAATCTATTTAAAAGCAACAATTATACTTCTTCTTCACTAGTTTTCATAGTGCTGTAAGGTGATTTACAGACTTCTCAGGAGAAAAGACATCAAATAGTCTTAACCAGGATAGGACCGTTGCATGCTACAATACTGGCTTCTCAAGCAATACTTTAAAATACTAATTTTGAGATTAAAATTACAGCATTTTTCCTTCTCCTTTACTCCTTCCAACACCCTGTGCCCCTCCACACATACAGCTTCCCTATATCCTTCAAAATCATGGCCTCTTTTTCAGTAATTGTTATTGTATGCAAATATGTATATGTATATACATACATATCCCCTAAAAAATAACAATTGATGTTAGTATGTACATTTTTACTTTGCAGGGCTAACTGTTTGGCAGAACCAATGACAGAGCTCTTCCCACAGGAAGATTATTTCTCCCACTCCCAGCATTCCGCAGGTGTGTGTAGTTCCATGGGTAGCCATCATGAGATTTTCCCCGTCCATTTTGACATGTCCATTGGTGTTATTTTTGATCTGTTTCTTTGATCAGGTTTGATGCTGGTTGGACTTTACGTATGGAGTGCCTGATATTACTGGGAGATACAATCTCAAAGGAAATTTGCTGAAACTCTGGTTCTACAATATGTTTGCCCCCTCTTCCTCTCTTCTTCAATGTTCCTTGACCCTTCGTTGCAACATTTTTGTTTTGTTTTGCTTTGTTTTCTGTTATTATTGATTGTTTTGTGTTTGTTTTGTTCTGTTTTTGTTTGTTTTTAGATGCATCCATTGTGATTGGGCTCCATAATACTGCATACTGGTTGGTTTTTCTTTTCTGTAGTGGTCTCATCTGTTGCAAAGGGAAGTATTTTTGGTGAGGAGTGGAGCCCACATTTATCTAAGACATAAGGAAAAGTGTTTGTAGACTGTTAAATAGTAAATGTTGGGAGTTTTAATTTTAATGGAGAAGAGCATACTGGGGAGGCATTATTGCAGATGTTGAAGGAGACATGTGACATTTGTAGTTACAGGAGATGTGCTAGGCACTGGTTACTTTCAAGGCTGTGTCATTTTGTTTATTCCACTGAAGTGATGAAACAGGGTAATTATTAGTTCTGTTTTCCAAATGAAAAAGTTGAATAGTACAAAAGTGAAAACCTGAGGCATCATCATATAATTACTACGTGTTAGAACAAGGGCTGAACATGGTCTGGCATGATTCCCAAATTTGTTGCCATTGCCTATATGGGAAATGTTAGCTTTAGTACATTTAGCTTCTAAGAAATCTGAAAAGAAAAAGGACTTTTTCCCATTTGAATAATTTAGGTAACTTCAAAGTTATTACAGATAAAACACAATGCTAAAAATAATGAATGAATATTTAAAGAATATTAAAATCTTAATACACAAATAGAAAATCCAGAAATGATATCAAATTCATTTTAACAAATTCTCTGATCCACTTCTGTCCAAAAGCCTCTATCAATTATCTCCTGGTTCCTTTTCAGTTTTTGAAAAGTCACTGAGAAATTTAGAAATGAAAAGAATGATATATCAGTGACAAAGATGTATTATCTCTTTTTATATGACATAATTTCTCTCTAGTAATGTTTAAATTGCCAAGCTTGTTCCATTTAAATGGTTTCTGTGTTTTCTTTATATACACAGGTAGAAATTTTCACATACTTTAGAAATTCAAATACTAAAATTAATAAGCCTCTGTGATATTGTTCAAATTAATTTCATGACTTAAAATATATTTATTAAAAAGGATCATTCCCCAAAATTAACCAAAATGGATTAAGGTTTTAATAAATTTAATACAAACTTACAAAAGTTTATATATGGATCCCTATAAAGATTTGGTAATATGATCAAATCAAATCTTATAAGCATTGATTACTATTATTATTATTATTATTATTATTATTATTATTATTTTGGTTTTTTTGATACAAAATTTCTTTGTGAAGTCCTGGCTGAGCAAAGCTATGATTCATTAATTATTCCTTCAATAATTATTTCAATATAAGTGATGTTCTTATCATTGATATAGCTTGAAGTGAAATATAGTTTAATGATCAAGAATTTGAGCTAACAATAATGTGTGTAATTACTACAATATAGACCTCTGATGATTAATTCTATATGTCATTTTAAAAATGCTTTGGTAGGTGAATAGCATTATATCAGTGAAATTTCAGTACTAAGATTGTGTGGTTGCTCCTTATCCAATAAAAAAATGTAGAACTGAAAGACCAGTGTTTGGGATATTTTTCAGTGGCAGAAAACCTGGGTATTTTGTACTGGGTCCTGCATTTGATCTGTAGCACAGCAAAGAAACAGAAGAATGGAAGAATGACCTCCTAGACTAACCAGGAATTCTTCAAAACAAAGCACCTGGACTATCATTTTCGTACACCCTTCATGGTATCAGACAGAAGACATACAAATTATTAGAAGTGGTAGAAAATATTCCCTGAATACATGGAAGATAATAAAGATGCACAGATAGATGAAATGATGTTGGAAATAGAAGTGAACCACATGAGAATCTAAAACATTTATACTGTCATTGTTTAGGTAGGTTTAGAATTCCAGGTGAAAGAAATGGGAAAAATGAAATTTTGGAAACTAATCTAAAATATTAAATAATTACTGAATGTTTAATTGACTCAGAAATCAGATAGTCTTTGCATGACACATATGATTGTTGGAGGAAATGAATGACTGTCCTTTTATTGCATGGTCCTGATTTTTCAACCTATCTGTCTTTTGGCAAGAAGACAGTGGTAATAGAACCACTAATGCCTTGTTCATTGGAAGGAGCATGACATTTTGTTTAGTGTCTTGAATAAGGAAATAAGTCCATAACTTTGGTTAATTGTAAATTAAATTTCATTAATTTAATTCTCTTTACAATTGAACATAAAATATATATATATATATATATATATATATATATATATATATATATATATACATATATATGCCACATTTTTGCAAACCATCAATTGAAATATCTAGGATGATTACAGTTTTGATTATTGCAATAATCAACTTGCTGAAGCTAGTATCACTAAGAGGAAAATGAGTACATTGGGAATACACCCAAGAATGGTTTGTGGGATATTTGTATACTATGTGAAGATACATTGCTGTGTTTGGTGTAATGAAGATCTGAATGGCCAACAGCAAGGCAGGGAAGATAGGAACTTCTGGGCAGAGAGATACAAACTAGGAGGAGGAATCTAGGCATGCATTTTCCACCAGACTTGGAACAAGTTAACTGAGCCCCATGGAAGAATGTAGATTGAAAGTTGTAGGGAAATTAAGTTATAAGAGTTTGTTGGAAAAAAGCCTAAGCTAAGACCAACCTTTCATAATTAATAATAAGTCTCTAGGTCATTATTTGGAGGCTGGTGGTCCAAAGGTAGTCAGACAAGAAAGCTTTCAACAGAGTGGTATGGCTGGATCATATGGATCTATTTAGCTTTTTGAGGAGTCTCTGCATTAATTAAGTTCCAGAGGGCTTCAGCAGTTTGCAATTTATCAACAGTGAGTAGGGCTTTTCCTTTCCATGCTTTCTTGGGACAGTTTGCTGTGAGTTTTATTTCTAATCTTAGCCATTCTGCCAGAGGATAAGATGAATTCTCAGAGTAGTTTTAATTTGTATTTCCTTAATGATAAGAAGATATTTTTAAATATTTCTTACCAATTTTTATTTCTTCTTTCTAGAACTTTTTTCAAATCTATAGCCCATTATTTATTAGTGTTTTTTTTTTTTTCTTGAGACTTTGGTTTGCGATCTTTGCATATTCTGGATATTAATTCACTATTGGATGTGTCACTGGCAAAGACTCTCTTCTTGTGTAATAGTAAATGTATTTCCATTAAAATTGTTACTTTTACCAAGGATTGTTGGAATTACTACTAAAATCATTCTGCCTTCATTTTGAAAGTCTCTTCCTTCCACCATGTGGGTCTGTGATATTCAACTCAAATCACCTGGATCAGGAGTGGTGGCAGGCCCTTTTTATCCACTGAGCCATCCTACAGCCCTATCTTTATTTTTGTCTACAGAATTTTGCACTATCACTCCCTTGATGTTAATCACCAGGGGAAAAAGAATTATAAGGGAAAAATGGATTGAATTTTCTAAAAGACAAAAAGGTCATGATATATTTTCATAGTTTAATATATATTTTTAAGTATAGTAAAATATAGACAACATCCTGCCTCTGGTTCCTGGCCATCTAGCCCAGAGATTTAGGATAAAACCAAACATGACTGATTGTCCAAAATAAATGAAAGAATGAATGAATAAATACATGCCAATGAAAATATTTCTAATGATATTCTGCTGTATTTCTAGATTGGTGCCTAGCCCAATAGTCATCAGACAGGCTTCATCCAGCAACTGATGGGAGCAGATGCAGAGACCCACAGTCACACGTTAGGCAGAGCTGAGGGAACCCTGAAGAACACTGGAAGGAAGGATTATAAGATCCAGAGTAGTCAAGGAAACCACAAGAAAACCCACACAATCAACTAACCTGGGCTCATAGAGGTCACAGAGACTGAAAGAACAGAGAGCCTGCATGGCTGTGACCTAGGTCCTCTGCATGTGCTATGGTTGCATAGTTTGCTCTTCTAATAGAACTCTTAACAGTGATAGTGGGAGGTATCTCTGACTCTTTATTCTACACTTGAACCTTTTTTTTTTTCTACTGTGTTTCTTCATCCAACCTTGATAACGAGGGTTTTTGTTTTGTCTTATTGTAATTTGCTATGCTCTGTGTAGTTGATATCCCTGGGAGGCCTGTTCTTTTCTAAAGAATGGAAATGAAGGATATTCAAGGAAATGGAGGAAAGGGAAGAGAGCGGATATCGGGGAGTGGGAGGTCTGTGGGGGAAATGGGAGGAGTGGAGGGAGGGGAAACTTCAGTCGGGATGTAATGTATTTACCGCCTTAATCATGTATAAGTCGCAAGTGTTACATGAATCTGAACTGTCAAATTGACAAATCTCATAATTTGTCGTACATTGTTAGTCTCTGTGTGCATTAACTTAACTCACAAGCACTTGTTAACGGCACTCCCTGAAAATCGCTCTTGTACCTGCTGTCTGTAATTTGACTGCTTTTTGGCAACATGTTAATAGAGTGATACAATATATGTTTTCCTGTGTCTTTCTGCTTAAAAGAAAGTATAAGTAAAAATATTAACATATACACACAAAATTGCATATATTACAACAATTAAAGAAAAAAGAGATCATGAATTGGAATAGAATCAAAGTGGAGTGCATGTGAGGATCTAGAAGGATGAAAGGGAAGAGGGAAATGATGCAATTTTATCTTATTGACAAAATACAGAATAATTTAGGTTATGTTCTCCAGATTTATCTGTGCTGGAACAAAAAAAAAGCAAAAACGTTTTTTTATGAATATCTAATACAAATTTCATGAAACAATTGTGAGGGTTTTAATTGTAATGAAATATGCCTGGAAGAGGTATTATCATTTGGCTAAGTGAAATTGGATGTGTGAAGAGCTTAATGTTACTTTTAAGTCTGATGAATATAGACATATATAATGGGCTATTTTTACTGAATCTTTACATATTCTCTTAAAAATATTTGGGTTCTAGAGATCTTTCACTTAATCCACTAAGGTATAAATGTGTGTAGGAAAGGAGATTAAGTGGAAACAACCTAATTTAAATCTGCCAATGCCCATGTTAGCCTCTGCTCAGCTCTGCATACAGAATGTCTATTGGCTTTAGTGCTAAAGCTGAAGGAAAGAAATGCCTTGGCAGCCCATTATTGTCTAAGTGTAATCAGGCACTTAGCAACACCGACTTTGGAGGCAGGCATCCTGTGTTTGGAAACAGCAGTTGAATCCACAATGAGCTAGCTGATTGCTCAGTTAGTGTTCTAATGTGGAGAGCAGGGGGCAGCCATACTGCACCTGAACCAAGGTGTAAATTGGACAACAAGACAATGCTCTTTAAACATTATTTTGCCTGCTTACTCATTTGGCACTGGATTTTCCTCAGTGTACATTTTCCAGGTTGTTTGGCTCTGCTCTACTTTTTCCATAGTGATTATGAATGGCTGTTACACAGTCTAGCTCTATCCTTTCTAAAAACTAGAAAAATAAGCACAGTATATATTAACATGAGCACAATACATGTTAACAATTATAAAAGAAAATAATAGAAGTAAGAATATTATATTCTTCCTACCATGTAAAGGACATTTAAAGTATTGTGAGTATGTCAAATATTTAACTAAGCCTGTAGTAACAGGTATATAATTCAATTACAGCTACAGATATGTTTTTCACATACTAGTGGAAGGTAAATGTAAATATAAACACAAATTAATATTCCTGGAATGTAAAATTAATAGTGACTGTCATGACAGAATACTGATATTAGTAAATCATAAAACTGTTATCATTACTTATAATATTTAAACGTAAACAATGATGTTGCCATTAAGAAAGAATCTACTTCTACATTCCAAATTACTTTTTTAATGTAAAATGTATTTAAAAGACTCAAAGAAAACATGTAGATAATAACATACAAAAAAAAAACTTTGAAAATTGTCTCAATAAAACTGGAGATGTTCTACCCCTCAATATAAAGTGTTCTTTGTATATAAACCTAAATTGATAGAAATATCATAATACAAATAAATTTATATTTGATTACAACACTTAAATAATAATTGCATCCTCAAATTTTGTTTCAAAATATATTGATCCTATTACAAAATTTTTATTTATTCTTTTTGCAGAATAAATCAAAGTAAAAAATTACATCATTCATTAAGAAAAATACCTGTAGGTTTCCCCATCATGATCTTGATGCCCCTTGCTCATAGAACCGTCTTCCCTCTGACTGGACTCCTTGAGTTTGGCCCAGTGTTTGGCTGTGGATCTCTGCATCTGCTTCCATCAGTTACTGGTGGAAGGCTCTATGAGGACAGTTAGTATTTACCAGTCTGATTACTGGGTAAGCCAGTTCAGGCACCCTCTCCAATATTGCTATTAGTCTAAGGTGGAGTCATCTTTGTGAATTCCTGGGAATTTCCCTAGCACCAGGTTTCTCCCTATGCCCATGATGTCTCCCTCTGTCATGGTATCTCTTTCATTGCTCTCTCACTATGTCCCTGTTCCATCTAAAACATCCCTTTCCCTTATGTTTTCATCCCCCATCCTCTGCCCCCTATTGTCTTCCCTTACCCCAAATTTACTCATGGAGATCTCATCTATTTCCCCTTCACAGGATGATCCATGTATCCCTCTTAGGGTCCTCCTTGTTAGCAAGCTTCTCTGGAGCTATGGGTTGTATGATGGGGAAACCCACAAAGACAACCAAACCAAGCTAGTGGGAACTCATGAACTTTAGATTAACAGCTATGGAACTTCCATGGGACTGGACTAGGCCCTCTGCATAAGCAAGACAGTTGTGTAGCTTGATCCGCTTAAGGGGCCGCTGGCAGTAGGATCAGGATCTATCCTTGGTATATGAGCTGGCTTTCTGGAGCCCAGTACCTATGGTGGGACACCTTGCACAGCCTTGATGCAGGGGGAGGGGCTTGGACCTGCCTCAACTGAATGCACCAGGCTCTGCTGCCTCCCCATGGGAGGACTTACCTTTTTGGTGGAGAGAATGGAGGTGGGTTGAGGGTGGGAACAATTTGTGGAGGGGTGGAAGAAGGGAAGAGAGGAGAATCTTTGGTTGTTATGTTAAATGAATAAAAAGTTTCTTAATTAAAAAAAAGAAAAATATCTGTACAAGTTTTACCAAACCCACCCAAGACTAGGTAATTTATACATGTTTACAATGAGAACAACTTAATGTACTTTGGAATCAGGTGTAATACAGGTTTCCCACCCAGACACAGTTAATTAAGTTAAGTCAATGGTACAAAAATGTTTAATTTAATCATAATGTAACCAATATTCTACAAAACACAAGCATTATCCTTATCTACTCTTTTTTGTTTTGTTTTTGTTTTTGTTGTTTTTCAAGGCAAGGTTTCTCTGTGCACTTTTGGTGCCTTTCCAGGATCTTGCTCTGTAGACCAGGCTGGCCTTGAACTCACAGAGATCCGCCTGGCTCTGCCTCCCGAGTGCTGGGATTAAAGGTGTGAGCCACCACCTTCTGCAGATATTCTTAAAACTTCCACCCTTGCACTTACTCAAGAAGAAGATAATCAAAACAAAGTAAACTTTAAAAGGTCAACAAGATTCAGTGGGCTAGAGGAGTTGGCTGAAGATCAGATTACAAGCCTCTTCCTCCTCTATGCTCAGGTGATTATGTGCCATATACCACAACAAAGTTAGATTAGCTGGAGTGACCTCTGCCCTACTCAGGGCCTTATATTGATGGGCATAGAATGGTGTGGAAAGATGATAAAAGAATGACGTGTCAGGACCTCCCTTCAGAAAAGTTAGCTTGTACAAGGCCACTGTGATGTCATATAACCAAGGAACAAAATGTCAGAATTAGACATATAAATAAATTCTATAAAGATATAAAATGTAAACATTGTCTTATGCCAAAATTTGACTAATAACTGCAGAAGCTTTGGCCTGAGGATTCTTCTTGGGCACACTGATCATTAAGAGTTAATAATACACTGCTTGGGACAAAGCAGTCTGACCAGGCTGGCTTGGAGATTTTCTGTCTAGTTGTTTTTGAAACTACAAGATTTGTCTGAAAGTTGGGTTATGGTTGATGAGTAAAAATTATTGTAAAAGATAACTGGTTTGTTATGATTTATCAATGATGACTAAAAGGTATAGAAGAGGAAGTAAAACACATGTCTGGGAACATAAATGATAGGATCTATGATTTGGAACACAACATGAATCTATCCCTACCTACTGAATTCTCTATAAATAAAGAAGCAGCTGGGCGGTGGTGGCACACACCTTTAATCCCAGCACTCAGGAGGCAGAGGCTGGCAGATCTCTGTGAGTTTGAGGCCAGCCTGGTCTCCAAAGCGAATTCCAGGAAAGGCGCAAAGCTACACAAAGAAACCCTGTCTCGAAAAAAATAAATAAATAAAATAATAAATAAATAAATAAATAAATAAATAAATAAATAGATAAATAAATAAATAAATAAATAAAATAAAGAAGCACTCTGGATGCTAAAAAAAAAGCATGGTGATTTATTTTAGGTCAACTTGGAAGATGCCTTTAGGTAAGAAGAACATTTAAATTGGTAAAGTTTGTGTATAAATAAATATTCTATACATGCTACTGGAGTATAATGTTTAGAAACTTAAGAAAAAGAAGAAGAGAGAAGAGAAAAAGAGGAATTAACAGCAAGCAAACCACAAAATCCAGCCTCCTCTTCCTTCACATTATATTGCATCACTCTGGCACTAGCTTGCTGGCCTTCAGACACATTGTTTTTCCAAGGATGGAGTGGCTGACCTACACTGCACCTCCCAACTTGTCAGCCTCTATAACCCATTGAGGCAGCTCCTTATACTAATTCTATTTCTATAAATACCCTTATCCCACTAATTCCTTTCTTTCAACAACTCTATCACAGTCTTTACTCATGCTCCCTCCCACCTCTAAATCAACATGGAAAATTTTCAGGAATTCAGAATATTTCTTTGTAGTCAATTTTGTGGAAATATCTAAATCTGAGCAGGGCTCTGTATTAATGTGAAATTTCAATATGCTTTGGATGAGTCAGAGCATTGGCAAAGGCTTTCATTCATAAACACTCAAGTCTTGGATCACAGCCCACTCTTGAGCACTGAGGCAATGCTCACTGTAAGAGCAGGACTGAGGACGATATCCTCAGAGGACAGATGACAGGAGGGTGACAGACAGAGCTGCATGATGGTAAGGCAAGGAGAGAAAATAACTACACACAGTGTGCAGAAGACATGCCGCAAGTGCTCACAGAGGCACTGCTTCACATCACAGGACACATGATGGACTGAGAGAAACAGCAGTGGGCAAACGATCACAGGAGGCAGCATGAGTGTGTGGTTCCCATGGAGCAAAGCCATTATCTATCCCATGGAAAGAGGAACGTGATGATGCATGAACACATCACCTTCCATTGCAGCTGAAGGTTTGACATTTATGAGGTGGGCAAAAAAGATCAGTTGTCCTCGAAGCACATTTATACAAAGAAATATCATTGGTACTGTCCTAAAAATACTACAAAAATCCCTGCTATTAGGGTGCAGGATTTATTTTCAGTAGTGGTGTTGCATGAGTAAAATTACAAACATGACAGACAGACAGATAGACAGACATAAATAGATACAGACATTAAATAATTAGTCTTAATCTAGTTACTTCGGCTCTATGTGATGTTTGCAATTACTATTTAGTTATTTATTTTGCAGTTTCCCTTGCTTTTATGCCTGATTTTGAATGTTATTAGTGACTTCAATACATTTCAGTATTTTAAAAGCTTTGAAACCACAGTCACCTGAATAAGAATAATATTATTAAGGAAATTGTACCAATGCAGAGATAACATTTTCCACTATGTGGCATTAATTTAAGCATTTAAATAAATAATGATACTTGCTTACATTGAAAAGTGTCTTACTATTTCCAGTATACTTGGTGTAATGATGAACTATCCACAGTACTCCTGAGGTTCATATTTCCCAGTGCCCTGTACTGATGGATGAGGTTTGGATCACTTTGTGACAATGTCAGTTTTTAACACTGCCAAAATCAAGAGATATTTCATTTCTGTCTCTTCTTTTCTAGAAGAAAATGAGGCTCTGAATTTTAAATTCTTCTCTTCTTAGTTTCCCTGACGCAGTGCCACAGAATGCCACAGATTCCCACCATCGCTAGCACTTTCTCTCTCCCTGATCCACATTCAATTACTTTGCTTGCTGCGTATTCACAACTGATTCATTTTTCTTTTGTTCTTCCATACTTCCTTATAGAACATTGATAAAAATAATACATAGATGAGCAAGTATGCTCAAAATCAATGTCCAATTTGTAGAGGAACTGAAAACATCCTTTCTTGTGATCTTCATTTTTAGGTAATTTTTGATTTATATAGGTCAAAGCATAGAAATCACATCAGCTATCATAGGAATGGATTTCTACATGCTACAAGATACTGGATGAGACTAAGTTTTACTAATTTGATCTTCATGGAATATAACAAACATCCAGACAAACATCTAAAATCATAGGTTGAATGTACATTATTAAGCGATATGGTTTATGAAACTCTTGCTGCCATGTGTAGGTAGGAGACTTTATAGCAGGTACCATAATCACCATATCTTGTGGTATATCTTCAAATTTTATATTCCCAAAATGTGAGTAGATTGTAAATTCAATCTTCTGAGTTTCAATTTCAAAATGCCATCTTTCACTGGCCATTATTAGTAACAACATTGATTGATCTATAAAAATAAATATACTAACAAATTAACCTAACACAATAAACAAGTTATTTTTTAAAGATATATGTAGTTTTAAAGACTGACATTATACATTTGAATTGACACATCACTGAAACAAAGACATCAGTCTCATTTCTGGTGTTGATTTATTAAACATTTTTTTAAAATTTTTAGAATGTTTAATGTTTTGAGTCTATTAATATGTGAATCAATTATATCATTAAATTAACAAAATTTTCTAAATATTCATTAATTTAGACAT